AGAGTTGGGATAAGGTGAAATCAGGTTTCAGGACCTCAATCTGAGTCTACTATGTGGGTGGAAGGGACTCAAGTGCTTGAGCCATCGTCTACTGCTTCCTGAGTGTATTAGCTGGAAGCTGCATTGGAAGCGGAGTAGCTGGGATTTAAAACAGGAACTCCTGGGGCCGGCGCCGTGGCTCACTTGGGTAATACTCTGCCTGCAGCGCCGGCATCCCATATGGGCGCCTGGTTCTAGTTCCAGTTGCTCCTCTTCCAGTCCAGCTCTCTGCTGTGGCCCGGGAGTGCCGTGGAGGATGGCCCAAGTCCTTGGTCCCTGCACCCGCTTGGGAGACCAGGAAGAAGTGCTTGGCTCCTGGCTTCGGATCAGCGCAGTGCCGGCCGTAGTAGCCATTTGGGGAGTGAACCAATGGAAGGAAGACTTTTCTGTCTCTCTCTCTCACTGTCTATAACTCTACCTGTCAAATAAGTAAAAAAAAAGAAAGAAAGAAAGAAAGAAAGAAAGAAAGAAAGAAAGAAAGAAAGAAAGAAAAAGAAAGAAAAACAGGAACTCCCATATGAAATGTGAGCATCTCAAGCAGTGGCTTAACACACAGGTTCACATCACCCATTCCTGACCATTTCTTAATCAGATTAGTTATTATTTTGCTGTTGAGTTGTTTGAGTTCCTTGTTGATTCTGAATAATAACCCCTTGACAGCTGAACAGTTTGCAGCCAAATTTCTCCCTTTCTGTAAGTTGTATCTTGATTGTGTTTTTCCCTTGCTGTGCAGAAAGCATTTGACTTTCATATAATCCCATTTGTCTCGTTTCACGCTTGTTTGCTGTGCATTTGAGGTCTTATTAAAAACTGTCAATTGCAATGTCTTGAAGTGATTCCTCCAGGTATTCTTCCAGGAGTTTAATAGTGTCACAACTTAAAAAAAAATAGTGTCACAACTTACATTTAGGTCCTGGACCCATTTTCTTTACTTAGTTAATGAATTTTTGTTTACTTTATACCTTGCAACTCCCTGCCAAGATGTGTTATTACATTTCTTCCTCCATTCAGCACCAGAAGCAACCTGGCCTTGTCTCATGCTTTGGAGGAAGGAAACATTCACCAACCCTGGCCCCAGCAAGAACAGAGCCACTGTACCCTTAGTGTTTGTAACCTTGCACTATGACTGGGCTTACAACTTCATCCCACCAGGTGGGTCTGTCCAGTACACAGGGCTCTGAGCAGCTCTTAACACTTCTGAGTACACAAACCTGTGCCCCACACTGCTCTGATGAAGAATGTACCAAGACTCCGGATGCAGGAGAGTGAGAAAGATGGACAGATGGAGAAGGGAGATAAGGAGAGAGAGGGAGAGAGAGAGAAGGGTATGCTAGGGAGAAGGTGAAGATGCAAGTAAAATTCCCTGTCAGTGGTCCTGTGAGCCTCAGAGCTGTGCTTCTCCAGGCTGGGGCAGTGCCATGTATCCCGACAACCAAGCCCAGAGCTGCAACACAGTTCTATTCCCTTTTTATTCTGAATTCAATCGCATAGATATGAGTATATCAATGTATTTAGCTAGAGTACCTCTTAGGTATACTATGTTTATATATATAAAAATATACAAACATATATATGTGTGTATATATATATTAAAAGTATCATGTTGTATACCTTTTTCTAAAAGATTTATTTTTACTTATTTGAATGGAAGAGTTACAGAGAGAGAGAGAGGTCTTCCGTCCACTGGTCCTCTACCCAAATGGATACAACAACTGAGGCTGAGCCATGCCTAAGCCAAGAGCCTAAAGTTTCCTCCAGGTTATTCACATGGGTGCAGGGATCTATGCACTTGGGCCATCCTCTGCTGCTTTCTCAGGTCCATGAGCAGGAAGCTGGATCAGAAGTGGAACAGTCAGGACACAAACCAGTGCCCATGCAGGATACTAGCATCACAGGTGGCAGCTTTACCCACTATACCACAACTCCAAGCTCCATGTTGTATACCTCAAAAATACATGATGTTATTTAAAAAATAAAATGAGATTCTGGATACAAATAAACAAACATACAGAGAGAGCAGAGGGAAGAAGGAGGAGGAGGGGAGAGAGAGATTGGAAACAGTTAAGGTCAAGTCCATGATTTTCTGGGCACTTCTGCATCTTTGTTGAGTATGTCTTATGCACTTTTGTAGGTACTAATCCTACATGAGTTTGATGAACAAGAAAATCAGACAAGATCTCTTTCCTTGTGCAGTTTACACTCTAGGGAGAGTAGATCTGACATTTTCTCATTTAAAATGGAAATTTTCTGTTGGAATCATACTCAAGTTCCTTCAATGGCTTCCATCCTGAGACTGAAACACAGCCCTGGAGTGTGCCCAGGTATATGAAAACTGCCTGGGGAATGCAGGTGTATGGATGCCTGGGAGGCAAGACACTAAGGGCAGAATATCTATGATTTCAACAGAAAACTTCCAGGAGATTCTTTGGCCAAAAAAAGACAACTAATAACTACATATAGACAAATGATAATCATTTCAAAATGTTATCATGAGGTTATAAAAATTGAATACTAATATAAGATTTTCCCATAAAGAAATATTCAATTCTGGATAACTTCACTTGTGAACTATATCAAACATTTAGAGAAAAAAAAATCAGCAACAAGCCTCCAAGTTTTTTTCAAAAAGTACAAGACTGAACATTTTTCGGTTCCTTTTGTGAGACCAGCATTATTTTTATTCAATAAATAGTTAAAGACATCAGAAGAAAAATACTGTGGTGCAACATTACTAATGAACATAGATACAAAACTTCATAATCAAAGTTTAGACATTTTTATACAACAAGATATGATAAATATAATCCATTAGCAAGCACAGCTTACCATAGAAAGATGCAGTCACTCTACCATTAAAAAACCAAGCTACATATTCCACTATATAAATGGAATGAAAAAGAACAGTTACCATGATGGATGACAGAAAAAGTCATCTGATAACATAAAATAGCCATTCATGATTTCAAAAAATTAGTAACTTGGAAACATCCTCAAATTAATAAAATCTAAAAACAGGGGATCTCACTGAAATTCACAACACCTAAGATATGGAATCAACCCAGATGTTTATCAACTGATGACTGGATAAAGAAATTATGGTATATACACATTATGAAATACTACACAGCAGTAAAAATAAATGAAATATTGTCATTTGCAACAAAATGAATGCAACTAGAAACCACTATACTTAGTGAAATAAACCAGTCACAAAACGAAAAATACCATATGGTCTCTCTGAAATGTGGTAACAGAGTACTCAAAATGTAATCTACAGGAGTAATTGAGAATTTAAATGCAATATTGAATTACATGTGTGCTGACAATTACAAAACTTTGCTGAGAGAAACTAAAAAGTAAAGAAATGCAGATATACGGTGGAGACTGATGTGTGATGGGCCAAGAAGTCTATTCTCCTATAGACTACAGGAGAATCATAGTCATGATTAAAAGGAAAAGCTTTTATCAAATTTAAGTAGAAATCAAAAGACACAGGACAGCCAAAGCCACTTGGAGAAAAACAAAGATGGCGAATGGACATCACCAAGCCCCTTGACTGGTAACTATGACAGCGTGGCGTGACGATAAGAACAGATATATGAACCAAAGACCAAAACAGAGAGCTCAGAAACATTCCTACACAAATAGCGTAAGCTGGTTTGGGGGGAAGACTCTGAGATCATTTAATTAATGGATAATTAGCTATTGGTGCTGGGAAAAAGAGCTTCTCTATGAGGGAAAGAAAGCCATCAAACCTCAGTATCTCACGTTACATGCCAATGCTCACTCAAAAATAAATAAAAGATCTAAGGATAAACTGCAGAGGTTTAAAGCCTTCAAAACACATAGGAGGAAATATTTTTGTCTTGAGCTTAAGCAAGGCAGGACATAAGAAGCATGAAGCCAACGTAAACATAAGCATTGCATTGTCATCAATGTTTTTAAAAGCATACACCTTTCCTTCTCACAAAAGCCGGGATGAGCATCCCTGGGAGGCACTTCCCTTACCCTGTCCCAGGAACTCACGACTGGCCGTCCTGCTCCTAACAGCTAGAACAGAAAACCTGGCCTCCTCACTCTCAGAAGCAGAAACTCAAAGCATCTTCTTGGGCTTTCCGCAGCAATGCTCTCCCTGTTCTCCGTTTCTCGGTGGCTTCTTTCGGCACTCACCTCAGGCCTAACTCCTCTGGCAAGTCTTCACCAGCTCCACTCCCAAGCCTGGGAGGGAGGTGCCCTCAGTCCTCCCGTAGGCCTCTAAGCTTCCTTCTCCACTCTCTGTTGTACTCGTGTTTTCTGCTGCCCTCAAAATGGCTGAAGTAGCGATGGATCCCCATGAGGGCAGAGTGCGGGATGGGCTCACAGAGGAGATGAGCCCTGTGTCCTCAGGATTGTGCAGGCAACGCTTTCCCAACAGTACTCTCAGCTGAAACCCAAAGAAAAGACTCCGAGGCCACCGGCCTCTCTTCCCCTTCAGGGCACTGTGCTGTTTACAGGGAGTTTTCTTGAAGTCAGTGCTGCAGACCCCACAATCGGGTTGGTACACAGGGTCACGTATTGGCAGCATTGCTTGAAACCTGAGCTTCCGAGATGGAATTCGAAAGAGTCTTGCTGGGAAACAAGGACCCTCAACATCTGCTGTTCTGCTCTCAGTTAAACCTAGGCCTGGCCCTTCCCACCCCTGGCCCCGACATTCTGCACACCTCCACATCCCAAGCTTCCAGCCCAGCATCCACCACATGTGGCCCCTCACACAGACCTCACACCACCCTCTGAGATGCAAAGGTGTGCTGTCAGTCTGGGCTCTGGACGCCACTTCCTCGCTCACCCTCCTCACTTTCATGAATCATTAGGACCCCAAGTCCTCCCCACACCTTTGAGGGACATAAACCTGTGACCCAAATTGGGGGAGGTGCCCACACGGACATTCCTGTCTGTGGCATCTCCACCAAATGGCAACTCACCGTCGGTCTGAACACTTCAGCCTTGTCTGTGCAGCAAGAAGCAACCTGGCTGGAGCCTGCTGCGAGGACCAAGAGGGTGAACAGAAAGACGGTTTGGATGATGGGAGTAAGAGACTCAGGAGCAGAGGGGAGGTCACATGCCAGAAAAGTATCCACTGGGTGAGCACAATGCACTGGGCTGCAGGAGGGAGGAAGACGGGGCGGGGACAGAGAAGAGGGGGGCTGCGGAAGGGGCTGGAACCTGGGGCAGGCATATTTGCACTCAGCACAGTGAAGACTTGCTGGTCTCTTGAAGGGGATCCTCATGTTCACTCCTGCCACAGCACACATTCCCAGAAGCATCCGTTCCCCCTGCTGGTGATCTGATTTCCATCACTGTCCCAAAGTGTCTTCTGGGGGCTGAGTTGTGTTCTGTGCTGGTCGCTGGTGTATGTCCCACACATGAGCAGTGCCAAGGATGCACAGAATAGCTGTGGGATGTGGTAGTGGGTGCTGGGGAAAGGCAGGGTCCCTTAGCATGAGGCTATTGACAATAATTTGCTGAGTGCAAAGGCTCACAAGGGGCCCTGAGAAAGTGCTTGTCTCGTCTGACAGTATGCAGCACCCATCCAGTGGCTCAGGATGGCCCAGGGAGTCTGCTCTCCTCGGAGAGTCTCGGAGGAGCTGGTACCAGAGATCTCTGGCAGATTTTACAAAGTGCTTCAGGTGAGAGCTCACAGCCACCCCTCCCTCTCTCACTGCTCACAGCCAAGTCCACCTGCCTCAATTCCCATCCCACCAAGAGCATGCCACTCCTGTCCTGAATGCCTCAGGGCTGCCAAGGGCCCACCTGTCCCTCCGCTTTCCTTCCTAAGGGAGGACACCAAACTCTCAGACCCTTAGACAAGAGAACTGCAGACTCAGCTGTGAATGGTGAGCACACCCCTCTGCTACCCAAGGCCCCTGAATTGCCCATGGCTCTGTCACTGGGCCTGAAATAAGTGTGGGAACGCTTGGCTGCTTTTGCTTTGTGATACATGAGGTGTCCTTCAACAGTGACCTCAAGTGATCTCAGGTTGTAAGCTTTGTATTTAATGGGCAGCAGAGGGAAGGAGCTGGCCTCTGCCTGTGCCGCGTAAATCTGCCCAGCCCTTCTTGGGGTAGATCTGCCTGTCCCTGAGCTGAGCTGGCAATGGACTGCAGCCAAGCAACACTGAAGTGTCCACAGCTTACAGTTCTGACCCCTATGGGCCCCTCATAAGCAGGAACCAGAAAGTAATCTCGATTCCATGCCTTCCTCTAGCAATACAAAATCTACCAATCTAGGAAGCACTAGGCAGTGCTTCTATAGAGGTGGGGAGGTTCTGGTGGACAAAGAACCTGTGGATCCCAAAGTTTTAGACTCTTGCACTCCAGAAGAGCACCCAGGCCTCCCCGTGTCATGACTCAAAAGATCCCCTCTAACCGATGATCTCGGGGCCAACACAGCTCCTTCCTTTTCAGAAGCAGAGGGTCCCTTGCCTTTATAAGGTGACCTTGGTGTGTACGGTGACATAATATCTGCAGACGAGGTAAGGAGCACATCTGCTCCTTTCACTCAGCCACCTGGAGGAGGCCCTCTCAGATAATCACCAGAGCAAGGCAGAAGGATACTGGATGTGCTTTTGGTATCATGAAGCTAACCAGGACACAGGAAGACACAAATCTTCCCCGACTCACTCAGGCAGTCCCCAGTGAAAACCAGAAAATAAGGAATTGCTTGAACAGGGCGTGATGTGGGAATTAATTGTCCTTACTTGTGCAGATGTGCAGGGTCTTTAAGCACAAGGTAGAGAAAGTGGGACAAGGCTCAGGTAGGCAATGGCATTGTGAGGCCCCATAGTCCTGTTCCTACATCCTGGGAGGACAGCCAAGGTGGGAGCCACAGGTGCAGGACGGATGAAGCTGTGAGTCGTAGTGTGCTGGCTTTCTTTCAGATCTGGTGTCTCCATGGATTTTTTGATGGCCCAGGTACCCACCGTCTCCTCACACAACCTATGCTCCCCTGTGCTGTGTCCTCCGTGAGTGGGGAAGCTCAGCTCCATGACTTCTCCCATGAGGCTGGGAAGTCACACCACGAGGTACAGCCCTGTGCAGAGCAGAGGAGCTCCACAGTCACAGGGACCAGGGATCCTCTTGGGTGTTTGCTCCATCGTAGCTGCTGTCAGATAGCATGAGCTCAGTCACTGTACTCAGCTGGAGTGTCAGCAGGAGACCACGCATGCCTGTTTGTGTGCAAGGGTGTGTGTGTGTGTGTGTGTGCCCTTGGGTGCATTTGCTTGCTCATAGCATGTGTGTGTAGAAACCAAGAATGTTATGGTGACATTTCGTAGGTAAACGGAACAACTGGGCAGACACACTGAACGCCAGTGGCACAAGTGGGATTTCATGGAGCAGGACTCGGCCACAAGGAGCCCTCGCCTCTGCCCCCTCCTCCAGCACAATCCCAGCCTGTTCAGTGTTCCCCAACATGACCCTAATATTGTCCAATCCAGAACGAAGCAGATGCCCACTTCACACCAGATGCCAACCTGACACCACATGGCACTCCACAGCATCTTCTGGCAGCAGCAACTCTGCTGCTGATGTGACTATTGGCTGCCATTGCCCACCTCAGGCACTCTTGGATGGGCCATGCAGACTTCCCAGCCTCCCTCTTTGCACACAGCCCCATGGACTCTGTGGCCTCTTAGCAGGACATGCTTCCTGCTTCAGCTCCCTACCCACACACAGAGGAGCCCTTGTGCCCTCCCACTGACATTCCTGTTCTCTCAGCTCTGGGGGGACCCTGAGCTCTCTGTCTGACCTGCAGCAGGTGCTTCTCCTTCCTAGGACTCAGCTCATGCACCCCACATGTTTCCAGTCAGTCACTTTCTCCTAGCTATGGGCTTTGTCTTGGCCTTTGTTCCTCCCATCCTTCCCTTGATCTGGTTGACAAATAAAACTCTTAGATATTAAAGAAATACAAGATGATTTACATATATAGTGTGAAGTGATTATCACAATCAAGCCAATTACCACATCCATCAACTCACACAGTCACCGTTTTTGGTGACACTTAAGATCTACTCTCTTGGCAAATTCTAAGTATGTATAACAAATATAGCATTAGTAACTATGTATCAGTATGGATATAAAATGTGTGTACATATTATATGTATCTACATTTCAATACGTTATATACTAAAATGTAGTCTACATAATGGATCGCATGTATTATACGTCATATATTTAAGCATGCATGTATGTATTACAGGTTGAAACTCTAATCCAGAAACCAAAAATCAGAAACTTGATAAATGTTCATGGGATCCTACAAATGAACAATTCTGCACCTGATGTCGTGTGACAGATCATAGTCAAAATGTGGGTAAATCAAAAACACTATGTAAAATTACCTTCAGGCTAAGGGCAAAGGTGTATATGCCACATAAATGAGTTTCATTTCATGTTTAAACTTGGATTCCCTACTCAAGACAGCTCAATACGCAGTCTTATGTGCAAACATGCCCAAATCTGAGAAGCTCTGAAATCTGCAGCCCTCCATTTCACACAATGGATGCTCAACCAGGATGGCAATATACCAAATGTATTACTTTTATATAAATATAAACTAATATCATAAATTTAGTGTATAAATTAATTTCTTTAATATATTGCATACCCATGAAAATATAAAATATTTATGTAAAATGTTAATAAATAAAGGTACAGGGGCTGGCGCTGTGGCACAGCAAGTTAATGCCCTGGCCTGAAGTGCCAGCATCCTATGTGGGCACTGGTTTGAAACCCAGCTGCTCCACTTCACATCCTGCTCTCTGCTATGGCCTGGGAAAGCAGTAGAAGATGGCCCAAGTCCTTGGGCCCAGGCACCCATGTGGGAGACCCAGAGGAAGCTCTTGGCTCCTGGCTTTGGATCGGCGCAGCTCCAGCCATTGGGACCAATTGGAGAGTGAAACAGCAGACAGAAGACCTCTCTCTCTCTCTCTCTCTGCCTTTCCTCTTTCTGTGTTACTCTTTCATTTAAATAAATAAATAAATATTTTTTAAAAATAAAGGTACAAATAGGATAATCCATAACACATTTACTTGAGCATAAATAAATATACATGTATACACAATGTCCGTCATAGTCACCATGTGGTATATTCGTTTCCAAGAGCTTATTCATCTTGTAAATGAGAGGTGGACCCTTTGAGCAACATCTCTCCATTTCCCCCACCCTGAGGCTCTGCCAACCATTGTTGCTACTCTTTGTTTCTTTGGTTTGGGCTTTCTTAGAGTTAACACGTAGGTGACATCATATAGTGTTTGCCTTTTGTGTGCGTGGCTTATTTCAGAAAGTAAACTGTCCTCCAGATTCATTCAAATTAAATATTGCAAGATTTTCGTATTTTTTATAGCTTAATGATATTCCTCTGCATGTGTATGTTTACATGTGTACACATATTCACATGGATAGGCATACACACATACCTATATATGTACACACACACACACACACACACACATTGCTTTATCAATTTACCCATAAACACATAAAAGGTTGTTTCATATACTGGCTACTGTGAACATTGTTTCAGTGAACTTGGGCTACTCTGAACATTGTATCAGTGAACTTGGGCTACTGTAAACATTGTTTCAGTGAAATTGGGTGTTCTTACTGAAGGCACTGATTTCATCTGCTTCTGATCTGTACCTATTAGAGGAAACTGCAAACAATCTCAGAAAACTGAGATTAAAAGATAAAAATAAAAAATAAAGTTTGTTTCTCAAGTTCACGGCATTTGTGTTGATGATACAGCTACATTTAGTCCACCTGTAAAGAACTGAGAGTCCTAGGAATTTAACCACGTCCATGCAGTCATTTTTACATAAGTTACTGAAGAAAAATGAGTGCTCTATAAGATGTTTTAATATTAGGAAACAAAAAGTAAAATACAAGGCGGAAAGAATGAAATCCCAACTGGATGGTGGATGATTAACGATTATTCCTTGCAACTCTTGCAAATTTGCTCTAGTTTGATGGGGAGACTGAGCAGGAGTGCTGTTGTGGAGAGTGACTTTCTGGTGAAGATTCCCCAGGTATTGTTATGCTCCAGCATTGGATGACTGTTTCAAAATGTTCTGATAATAAGCAGATTAAG